GCTGGTGTATCGCTCACGCAGAAATTTCTGTTCTCCAAGTTGTGCTCTTATTCGAGTCACAAGAGTAGTTGTGTTTAAGGGTCTTATTAACATCTCTAGATGCGGGAAAGCTGTGCCTATACATCACCATGCTTAGCATAGTCCACAATGTACAGACGTAATGATTTAACCATCTTCCCAATCTGAAAACTTAGAAATGTTTTAGCTAGTAGACTCTCCTGTGATGTAGAAGCGCAAACCATCGGGTCTGTGGAGGGATACACTGAATTAAGATTAGAGAATCGCCAATGTATAACTACACCTAGGAATAATACACTGGTATGGACAAAGGAGTAATCTTCCTATCAATGATGCACTTGTGTTGCTGTGATCAATGCGGCTATTTATCAACAAATATGTAATATTCACCTCAGAAAGAGACTCTCATACGAATTTTAAATTTGTTTTATGGTCTTGTTTTAGCAAGTCATTCATCAAGCATAACTTAACTAAACATGGCGCCGTTATCCCGCTTGGGCTACATACTAAAATTACGTCATATTCCTGAGAAACCAGTGATCATTTCTTTCATCCTTTCATTCTCAATAAAATGACAAGTCACTTTTACACACAGTACAATCATAAACACTCTGTTGATTTTTTTGTTGTCCCTCTAATACTGTTACTTAAGTATTTGTTTTGTGTTTCTATGCTGTATGTTTTATTTATCAAGGCATCCAATGTGTAAATTCTGTTCATTAAATTGTTGGAAGCTGCTGACAAAGGTAGTGCCACAGTATTGCTGTAGCGTAAATTTCATTTGATGTGTTATTCGCTTTCTGGTAGTTATAGCGTTTCTGATTACATTAGAAGCTTAACCGTTTGAGCATTGTATACGACATGTGGTACTTTTTTTTAGCAAATTTATTCGAACAAGTTTCTTTGACAGGCAAAGTTAGCAACGTCAAAGGTGAAGAAAAACTTGGTGTTTCCTAAATAACAGTATCGCCATTCACTGCTGCTCCAAGTTTTCCTTATATGCTGGTATGAAAGACGTTAATGTTGTCCATGATGTGTCCTTGCATCGAAATACATGTAGTATACTGAAAGTAAGCTTTTTATTTTTTAAACGTATCTTTCTCATGTCCCTCGTATTCACAGTGGGAGATTGTGTTTGCCGAATATAGAATAATTGGGAAGTTCACCGGGTGAAAGATCTGTATCTGGCCCTTGTGTATATACTGTGCAACATCTTTCTTCTTGTTTTTAGGTCTGCAAAGTAAGCCCAGGCACAAGAGAAAGAGGCACGTGAAAAGGGAGTGGTCCTGCCCACTGAGGAGCGGTTCGACTCCAACTGCGTCTCACCTGGTAAGATTTTACCTAATACTTGGTTTTTCTTTTATTGCGACAGCAATTATTTGGACACACTCGGCTAGATTTTGCCGTCGACGTCATTCACAGTATATGTATACGTATTTATATATATAAGAAAATGCAAGAAGGAAAAATATTTCAGAAAAATACTCCGGCGCACGGAATCGAACGTGGCACCTCTTGTTTGTGTGGGCGAGGCGTTAGCCACTGAGCTACGAAGGAGCACCTCCTTCAAGGTTGAAACGGCAAGCTATTTATATATATCACTTACAGCTGGCGGAGCTCATCTCAGGGTTAACTATCGTGCTTTCAGATTACCAGCGAGATGGCGCATCGAGCGCGCAGTGCCGGATAGTCACGATGCGGTGAAGCGCACTCTCATCTCCCACACGTATTTTGCCCCACGGAGAGGGGGTTGGGCTCACGCGTCCACGCGCTTATCTCGCAGTTTGGAGAATCGTTTACCTTGGGATTTCATTGGAATAATTCTGTTGTTGTTACTGGGCACACAAAGGTCACTGCACTCGCTGCACAGTGTCCGTTAGTCAAAGGGGGACCATTTTCATACGCAGCGAAGAAAAAGTGGGACGTTTGTTCGCGTTCATCTGTACAAGTGAGTACGTTTAGTGCGTCATTTGTGAGTTGGAAGGGTGAACACGTTTCGATCTGCTCGCAATCGTTCGCGTGACCTTTCGATTAGAGTCTATCGCGTTCATTGCTTTGCCTTTGTGACCAAGCTGTGACTTTTTTATTATGGGTTCTTTGCCCTCTCTTTAATCTACAATATCTTTTTTGGGGTAGGACTTTAAGTTGTGCACTCAAAGATTGCATTGCGGCTCCGCCATGTCATTGCTAAGCAATTTTCAGGTGCAATACCCAGCTGCACTTCCACCATTTTAGAGCCCTTCCCTCCTTCTCTCATGGAAACAGTAATATTACCACCTTGTTAAAGGTTTTCTGCAATCATTATAAGGTTCAGTTTTAGAGAAATGTGTTTTACGAGTCTAGGGTTCGCAAAAGGCTGAATTCTAAAATGCTCAAAGGAGCATCAAAGCCTCGATCTTTACTGTACTTTAGTTTTGCAGCCTGAGCGTAACTTCAAATAATTAGAAGAAGAGTGCCCTTAATAAAAAAACTGAAATTTCCGTTTCATCCATGGAACTTTCGCCCCGCAAGTTTTGCGTCCAACTTTGCTTATAAGCATGTGTGTTATATTTGCACATCAGTGATACACTTTTGAAGGCATTAGTTTTAAAGTACTTCAACATGCTAGCTAGCTTTTATGGTGGAGAATTCACGCCCTATACGTGAGGAATTACAACATTGATTCGGCTGCAGGCACCAATTTCATGGCGCGGTTGCAGGATCAGCTACTGCAGTTTGTGGCCGTGAAGGTCTCCAGCGACACACTGTGGCGTGGTGTCAATGTTTGCCTCTCGGGCCACGAGGTTTGTTGTTGCAACTTTATTTAGGTTTTATTTTTGCTGACTGGCTACTCTAGTGGTCAATGTTGGAATGTGCATCACTTCCTGTTTATCAAGACGTCGTTTAGCATTTCTTCTTCTTAACGTACATTCTCAGCTTTAACTCTTCAAAAACGACAGAGAAAAACCACATAATCGGCACCCCCCTTTTTAAGAACAATTTTCACTTTTTCTTGGTGCGAGTGCTACGCAAGAAAAGATGGTATTACTGGTAGACCTAAAGTACGTCAGATGCCCTATGCCTTTTTTGACGATGTGTATAAGAGTCACTTTCACGCAGGTTTCTTTGAGAGTCTTAAGTATAGGTGAATTATAATCGCAAAGGATTTCAACAATATTTGAGGACAGCCATAACTTTGGTGGATCGTGCAATATTAATTGTGTGCACTGCCCTGGTGATGGTTTTCTGATGTTCCAGTCCTACAAATATTAATATTTTTATTGTGCTTATGAATGCTACTCTCCGCTACAAGCATGCATCTATATATTTTATTGTTGGGTTCTTTTGTTCATGGTACGATTCCTCTACCGAGCTGTTTTGAATAAACACCAGGTGAAGGGGGACACAATGTGATGGATTTTATCCGGACTGAACGATCCCAGCCTAGTTACGACCCAAACACGAGGCATTGTTTATATGGGCTTGATGCCAACTTGTTGAGATTTTTTTGAACAAGCGTACATTGCTTTTACTATTATTGTCACACACTGTAGACTTTGTGAACATTGAGCATGTGTTTGTACCATTGCTATTTCATTTTCGCTACTTTTATAGTCTGGATATCTGTTCGCGTCGGATTCATTACTGCTGAAGTGAGACACCTGAAGGTTTGTTTTAATAGCTGAAGGAATGCCAGAGTCCCTGACAAAATTTGCAAGTATTTTTGTGTGTCCAGCCTAAGATCGAGAACAAAATGTGTGTCGGTACGTAAAAGTCGGGTGTCTGAAACGTTCGACAAATGTTTGACTTTGCGAAAGTAAGGAAGCATTATTGCATGGAGCACCTGTTTCCAACATGATGCCAATGCCACCTGTAAGATTTGTTTTGCAAATGGTCGTCTGTTCTTTATTTTTATTTTTCCGTGCTGTTTTGGTGGGCAGTCTTACGGCAGCAAAGTCAGGATTTCGTCAGGTGTGGCAGAAAACTCAGCAGTTTTGTCACAAGGTAATAATGGGACGCAAAACACGCAGTGTGCTGACTAACATGTACAATGATTACCAATTCCAATTTCATGGGGGAGGCAACCATGGAAAGGCAACTTCTTTGTTTGTTGAGATATCCTAACGGAACTTTCAGAGTAGGTTAATAATAAAGCCATTGGAATAACCTTAAAATTTCATCTATTTAGGTTCACTGGTTCTAAAGTTACAGCCATTTATCAGGATAGTCCATATAGGTTTCTTAGGCTTTGGTGAATTTAATAAATGTGCTACTATCATGAAATTCACTGTGATGAATCCTAGATGGGTGTTTTACACTAAAACAGAGATTTTTTTAAAATTTCCTTTCTAAAAATTTTAGCAGAGCATTGTATTTGGTGTTTGCCAATTAACCTTATATAATGAAATTTTATTTATCACACAGATGCAATAAAATTTAAAAGTGGCTGTCAATATGTGGGCTATATATTAGGGTACATAATAAAACAAATCTGAGAGAAATCAGATGAAAGGTTGCATATATATCACCAGACTAAACACCCTCACTGGTTAAAAAAGTTATTCTGAGAAAACGGACCTTGAAAGTTTTGAACACATATTTTGGTCTAAAATGACCCTGCAAAGTAGCTAGAAATGTTCTTTAGGACATTTTTTTTCCCACTTTTTCTGCTTGTGTTGCAGCTGTTCTTGAGCTTTTTTCACATGAAAAGGGTCTTTCTCCGTTGCCCGTTGTTTGCCGGCATGGCGCCGAGCTTTGGTTGCACAGCAATACGTTCGCTATCCTCCGCGGCTAAGTCCTCGCACGTCCGAAAACGTGTGGGCAAATGCAAAGTCGATGACGCGGTCGCACTGTTCAGGGCCATAATCACTGCAGTTAGCGAGTGGAACGCACCAGGCGCACTTGAGCACGAAACACCAATACCAGCCTCACTTGTAAAGACGGAGCGTTGCGCCGATTCTCAATGTCGTGATAAGCATCAATGCAGTCGTCGTCTTTAAGAGATGAAGGAGAAGCTGCTCAGCATTGATGCGAGTCTTGAAGAGATGAAGGAGAAGCTGCTCAGCATTGATGCGACTGTCGCCACACGTTGTCGCCTGAACAAGCCTCACCATGCGTACGAGCTTCATGGAACGCTTTCTTGAACAGAACGTGTGTCGAGTCCCAAACTTTGCCCTGCCCATCGATAGTGACAGAAAAACTACCAGCGTTAAGTGAACACAGCAAAAGATCGTGTCGTAAAGACGGCGAAAGATTGAAGAGAACGCGTGAGAACCCAGCGGAATGATGGCAAACGGTAAAACAACGCATACCAAGAGAACATGACCGGCGCATGCAAGGGCGGCGCCGGAGCAGACGGCTAGCAGGGGGGAACAGATTTCTCATCGTGCATAGAAGCCAATATGAGCCGCGTGATCGCCCACTCCCTCGAGACGCGCGTGCTTCCTCCAATCGCGGCTTCGCATTCGAACCGCGGAAGACTTCAAAAGTTCGAGAGCCCCGCAATCCTGAGCGATTCCCGCACGGCCATGCCGCTGCTGCTGCCGCGGGTGGCGAAAAAAAAAGAGCGAGAATTCACGAGCAAAGAAGCAAAGCAAAGAAGCAAAGAAGACTATGATGCTAGCGCTAGGCCGCGTGGTTGAGAACACGTGAAGTTGGGGTATTTTCAGCGCTCGCTGGCCACACGCCGGCTGCCACGGCATGTTACATAATTTATTTGATGTACTTTCGCGATGAATTAAACATTGATATTTATTGAACAGATAATATAAGACATGCTACCAAAATATGTGGTTTTCCAAAAATCGACTTTTTTGCGATTTTTCCATTTTCAAAGGGTGCGTACCCTCTTATGCTTATGTAGACAAAGAACTCAAGATTTCTATGACGTTGAAAGTAAATATCACTTACTGTGAATATTATTGATGCATAACAGCAACCTTTCATGCAGATGGCTGCATGAAAGAAGAGGTAGATAATGTCGTTTCTAAATCTGAACTGGCGCCATTTTCTCAATCTTGCGCTGTGCCTTGTAGATAGGTTATTAAACGATGTATACTTGTAATGATATTACATGTGCTGTAGGACAGGGGCATTGGAAACATTTGTTCACATAATTTAGTTTGTCCTTTTTGTTAATATATTGTTGCGATCACAGTTCAAATAACTAATACAGTTCAAGGTGGTATGCATGTGTCATCTGTTGACTTCTGAAACACTTGAGTTTCACATTGTCGCCTTAACGAGGTCTTTTCTTATTTACAGGGGGAAAGTGCTCTTTTAGTTTTGCTATGTATTATGTCGATCTGAAGCTTTCGAGTTGGTGCGTTTCTTTGCAGATTATGCTCGGCATGTGTTCCCATGAACCACACTTCGCACTGCTTCGGGAGGAGATAATGTATGGCAAAAGGCAGAATCAGAAGAGGTTTGCATTCATTTGTAATATTTTGTTTTTGGCATAATGCATGTGCATTCAGAACTGAATGTATTGTCCATCTACTGAATTTATTTTGTTTGGCTGTTTGTGAATTCATGTGTCATGCCAAACATTGTGAATAAGTTAGTACTTTCGGCTGTGAAAATACATAGTGCACTATATTTACAAAGAAGATTAAAAAACATTCGGTCTCTTAAATTCTACGTTAAGTAACCGTGGTACTTTTTTCTTTGGACTACGTTTCCTCAGTCAATTGATTCGAGTCGTCATGCAATAACAACGCAGAAAGCCATAAATCTTGTGGAACTAGCTTCTGATAAGCACTGTCACAGAGATTGCAGTGCTGCATGAAATCATCTTTAAGAGAACTTTATAGTTTTCTGGAGGCTTACTCCTACTTAAAAAAATTGTAATATTAAAACAGGTGGGCAAGCATGGCAATGATTTGAGAATATTTCCAGTTGCTGTATAGTCGCCCACTCCCGATTTTATTACATTTCTTTAGCAGTTTTACATTATTACTAACACCAAGGAGTTCCCTGGAATTTCGTTAGAAAAGAAGCTGTTGGCTTGCTCCAATTACTTGACAACCACTGACACTAGTTTCATCTCATTGTTTCGACTGCAGCTTGTCTTTCTGGGCACGAGCGTGCCCTCCAAAGGGTTATATTTGCACTTTTAGTTTCTTTTCTATTATTAAAAGGTGACTGTGTCATTGATTGAGTGCCGCGCTGTAAGCGACATCAATAAGCTTGTATTGCTTATTTGTAATTGCTCACTGTTGTGTTTTTTTGCAGGCTCAATGTACGTTCCTGAAGAGATCACGTTTCACCTTCTCCGTCTGTCGTTGCTGCGAGAGTACTTGGAGCTCGAATCCCAAGAGTTAAAGGTGAGCTACCTGTCCTCCTCTGAAGGGCAGGCTGTGAATTGTATGCATCTGGATGGTGTCCCCGTATTTCTCTTCTTGTACTCCGCAGATAACGATCCCGTTCAATTTCAAGATGGACAACAGCATAGACGACTGGGTGCTGATGTGTTTCCTAGTGGCCAACGACTTTCTTTCGCACTTGCCCAATCTCCACATTGCGCACAATGTGCGGTTGGTTTTCTACCAGGCCTACATTGATGTGATGCCATCTCTTGGAGGCAATTTTCTGACGTCATTTTTAAAAGAAAGGGCTGTGCACTGACGTGTGTGACTGTTATAAGTGTGACTGATCAGAGCTACAGCTGTTTTTTGCCACTTTTACATAAATGTGACAGCACTGCAATGGCGAGAGGTGGTGCTTTGCATTTTAAATATCCCCTGTTGCTTTTCTTCCCACAGCCTAGTCTTTGTTGTGCGTGGTTTGTGGCTTGTCTGGTAAGGACGTAGCATTAAAGTCTTTCTTCATAGAGAAGTGCATAAAAGTCTTGGCAAGTTTTTTATTCGGTCTGTAAAACCTATAACTGAAGTTGCGCTCTGTCATTGCTGCCCAAAGAGGCAAGTGATGTCACATTCGCCTTTAAAGGATGTATGGATGTGTATATTCAATGGTTGTTTGTTTTTGTTTTGCTAAGAACTGAGAAAAAAGTTTCTATTAGAGATAACCTGGTATAGTTACAGCAGTTTTTCCCTGCTTCACATCTCCTCTCTCTTTTAGGGGGCAGGGCTTGACGTCGGGAGCAACTGGTCGATGTTTTGCAAGGTCGCATGTATAATTTGGGCTTTACGTTGCAATTTCAAATGATTATGTAATACATCAAACGGTGCCGCCACGATTGACTTTCTTATATGTCAGAGCATTTCAGTGTGGAAGGAACTCATGTAATGCCAAAATTAGTACAGAATATGTAGTTTTTTTTCCAGTGCTGCTTCTGGCACTTTGATAGTGATGCGAAGCTTCGAGGGGTCGTCCAGTACAAATGAGATTGATTGACAAAAAACCTCAGAGATAAGAGTGGGTCTAGGGACCTGACCAAAGCGTTTTGCAACTTTCGCGCCTGGGGAAGAACACATTTGCTGTGGAACTGCGAAAAAAGCAGAGAACGTAGGCCAGGTACTTTTTAGTTGTTTTAAATTTCTGTTTTTTTGCCGGCAGGTTACATCAACGAATATGGAAAGCTAAATTCGAAAAGGTTTGAAAAATTTCTTACCAGGCTTTCTCAGGTATGTTTGCTTATCTTCGTACTGACAGTTTTTTTTGTCTTTCTGAATATTGCTCTCACAATTTTTTATTGTACAATGTGTTTAGATTTTTTTCCAGTTTGACTATGAAAATTTCGCCGACGTACAGGCTGAACAAAAGTTCTTAGGTTCTAAACGAGCCTATGCCGAAGCACCAAACGGTATTGTGCAGCAGAACGGGTCGCCACCTTCTGGCATGGAGAAGACTAAGGATCTAGATGAAAAGCGTAAAGTCCAAACGGGGACAGTGCGATCTTTCCACTTCGATGTGTGTCCTCGGGCGAGGTTGCTTGTTAGGCATTATATTTGCAGGTTGTCGTTGGCATGCATGAGAATGTGGGGAAGAACTCGCTCTCACAGTAGACAGATAACACTGATGGCTGATGCTGCACACAGCTGTTCAGTTACTTGTGCCATAGTTGCTTCTTAGAAAGCCCAGCATCATTAAACGTGATCAATCAATAATTGCAGTACGTGACGTGTAGCTTCCTCTCTTCAATACACCGAGCGGTTTTCAGCATTATTTTGTAAAATAGACTTTATAACGAGCTCTATCAAATTCTTGTTGAACCCTTTTTCTTGCGTACAAGCTGTGTCACGAATTAATGCCAGAAATGTGCTGCCAAGTTCAAACGTAGGCATGGGTGCTGCTTTCTGGCATGCATTAATACAGTCAAACTTGCATATATTGCACCTACGTTTAATGAATTATTGTGCATATCGAAAAAGTATGAAATCTCCCTAAATATATTTTTATATATAAAATGTTATATGTGTATAGAAATACTTGTAAGGATCCTCTTCAGATTCGATATATCTGGCGTCGACTACATAGCTTAATAGTCTGAATTGCTTCTCTTACGTCTAAAGTAAACAAAAGTAACATTAACATAGACTCCGAATTTTGAGATACTGCTGCTGAAGTTGAGGTCCTGGGTTCACTTTCCAGCTGCTGTGGTTGCGTTTCTGTGGAGTCAGTATGTAGGAAACGCTTGCTTGTTTAGATTTAAATACACGTTAAATAACCTAAGCTGGTGAAAATTAAACCAGACCCCTAAACTTACTGCATCACTCAGAATCCAGTGCGGGAATCGAGGGCATCAAACCTAATAATTAAACTCTGAAGTTTCGAGCACACTGCCACATCAATGTACTGAGAGGAGTAAATTATTTACGAGAAACACGTGGGACGTGGTTGGAAAACATGCAGACAGAGAGAGAGAGAGAAAACTTTATTTGCGCATAACGCGGAGCATTCCTAATGGTCGGGCCCCTATTCTAGGGCTCCGCTGGCCCTAGCCATCATCTCTACCTGTTGGACCAGCCAGCGCTGATCAACAATGGCCGAGGATGTCCTGTGTCGAAAGGTTCGAGTGGAAACCAAACATGGTGTTTGGCAACAAGTTATTTTGTTCAAGATGCCGTTGAAGTCTGGTATTTATTAATCTCTCAAACACTTTGCCTAAACACAAGGTAAGAGAGATTGGCCTGAGGTTTTGTATTGCCAATTTCTTTCCTGGTTTGGGAATCCTAATTATTACAGCATGCTTCCATTGCTGAGGTATAGTGCCATTCCCCCAGTGTTTGTTAATGAAGTTTAGAAGCGCTGTTATGGTTTCGTCGTTCATGTTGCGAATCATGGCATTGGTGATTTGGTCCGCCCCAGGCGCTGTGTTGCGTTTCATGCTGAGGATTGCTGCTCTGACCTCAGCATGCGTGAAAGGTGCATCCAGTTCTGAGTTTGGGAGCCCAATATATTTGGCCTGGTAAGGGCTGTGATGGCTCGGGCGCCGAAACACTTAATACAGATGTCTTGAAGGAGGTCATCTCGTGTGCCTGGATATGTGTGCAATAATCTTTCTAGAGATTTTTGTCCTTCGCGTTTAGTTTTCAGAGAGTCAATCATGGCTCTTAGGATATTTCATGTCTTTGCTGTTCCTAGGGTTCCATTTAGTGAATCGCAAAATTGTTCCCAGTTGGCTGTCGCGAGCTGATTAGCGTACTATTCGGCTTGCTGCGTTATTTCTTCAATTTTCACTTTGAGTTTCTTATTTCGCTTTTGCCTTTTCCATCTTTTAGTGAGGTTTCTTCTTGCTTCCCACAGGTGGAGAAGGTGAGCGTCTACTTCAGGGGTATCATCTGTTCTGGCGACAGTTTTGGTGTACATTTGCTTTTCATTTCGAATTACTTTGCACCACTCGTCCAAGTCCTCTATGGCGGTCACGTGCGCTTTTAGCGCTTTTCTATATGCGTGCCAGTCTGTAATTTTGGCTGTGCCGATGTGTATGCGGATTCGGCTGGTGCGGATTGTGGTGCTTAGTATGTAATGATCACTGCCCACGATTTCAAGGGTGTTGTACCAGTCCACGCTGTGGCAGTTTTGTACTATCGTCAAGTCTGGACTTGTGTCCATGGTTACGCTGTTGCCTATCCTCGTTGGTATTGCAGGGTCAGTTAAAAGAGTCATTTCCAGTTTCTCTATTTGTCTTGCGATATTGTTGCCTTTGGTGTCTTCATTCTTATATCCCCAGCTTGCATGCCTGGCATTTAAATCCCCAACTATGATTAATGGATTCCCTTTCGCCAGTTTTGCTGTCTCTTGAAAGAGCTTGTTGAACGTTGCTCTCTTTTGTCTTGGGGGACTATAGATATTAAGTATGAAGAGCGCTCTTTACATGGCTCCCTTTGTAGGTTATTTCTGTTATGATATGCGGGATATCCGCCTCTTCAATGGGCTGATGACATATTGCTGTAGTTGAGTTATCGACTATTGTAGCAACTTTCCATTCTGCGTCCCCGGTACTAAAAGTTTCATAGCCCCGTAATTTTGGTTGTGTTCTGGCTTCCTGGACTGCTATGACAGCAGGTGGCTTTTGTTGCGAAGCCACCAGCTGCACCAGTTGCCCTCTTTTCCGCCGGAAACCACGGCAGTTCCACTGCCATATTTCGCACTTTTCTGGCCGCTGCGTTTGACGATTAGCCATTATGCGTCTCCTGGTTCATGGCCGACAATCGGGGCCTGTTGTAAATTTTCTCAGCTTTTTCTCTGATGTTGATGCATGTGGCATGCTTTCGCAAGGCTTTTGTGAATTCGACGTGTTGTGCCTGGATTTTCTTGCCCAGAATCTCGAGCTTTCTATCTGCGTTTTTCATTTCTTGCTCTATAACTGTCGGTAAAACTTCCTTTAATGTTTCTTTCAGCATCGACGACTTAATCATTGAGTCACCTCCTGCATTCGGTTGCGTCTGCGATTTCTGGCCACTCTGGGTGGGTATAGAGCTTTGTTGCTGGTGCTGCGTTTGTTGCTTTTTTAGTTCCCTATTTTCGCGTTCTAGGTCAACTATTCTCACCCGCATTATCTCTAACTCACGTTCTAAGCGCGTGAGTTGTGGTGTTTGGTGTGAGAGTAGAGAGGGTTTTGCTGCCCCGCTCACCTGGTTCTTCGCTTCCTTTTTCTGCGCCTTTTTGCCCTTGTGCTGTTGTTGCTTTGCTTGGGCCTGCTTGTGGCCACCATTCCTGGAGTTGGAGCAGTCTCGAGAGCCGGACCTGGATCGGGATGTAGATCGAGATCTGTATCAGGAACTGGAACAGGCCCTGCCTGGCGGTGCAGAGTCCTCGCCGTCCGTGCTGAACCAGCGTCTCTTGAGTATGTCAGTGGATTTTGGTGTGCTGTGTTGGTGCGACAGCAGCGACCGGCCCTTTTGAGGGACGCGTTTGAGTTTCTTGGTGCACTCCGATGCCGCCGTGGGATGGCGTCCGCCGCACAGGGCACATTCTGGATCGCAAGTGTGGTCTTCAGTTGGGTCTCTTAGACGACAGTTACTGCACGCCTTTGTCATTCGTGTGGGACAAACATCCGTCCTATGTCCCTGAGTCTTGCAGACTTTACAGTACTGCCGTGTGGGTTGATAAGGCACGCACGGCATTTCGCCACCGTAATAATACACGAAGCGCGGCAGTATTGCTCCATCGAACGTGATCACTGCAGTTTGTGACTGTCCAAGCATGCGGGCTTGAACAATTGTCACTCCTTGAGTGCGCACTCGGAGATGGCTCAGGAGTTCAGCTTCTGGCGTTTCGCGTTCTATTCCGTGTACCACTCCTTTCAGGTATCCAGTAGGAGTGGATATGTAGGTGTTCACGGGATAGTTGGTGCTATTGAGCTCCAGTGTCTTTATCTTCAATATCCTTTCTGCTACATTTTCGTACGGAGTGCTTGCAATAATTATGTTTGATCCGTTGCGAAGGCGAAGCAGAAATTTGTGGCTGTCACAGGCTTCCGGGTCACCGCTCGCATGTTCTATCGCTCGCGCAACTGGTATGCTTTCAGTTCCTTCACAACTAACCCTGGTCTGGGCCGCATGGCAATATTCATATCGTTTTTGGGCAGCGGCGCCGCGCGCGTTCGTCGTCGGCCCCTATCAGATGCTCTTCCGCGTTGCTCTTCTGCAAGCGTTCTAGCACCGGAGCTGTTGCTCTCGGTTTCTCCTCGAGCAACGCTGTCATCACTCGCTGCGCATTCTTGTTTCCTGATGCGTTTTCGCTGTCGCAATGACATAGCTACCTGCCACTGACCATTCTTGGCTTCGTCGTCACGTTCCTCCGAAGAGTCGTTTTCCTTGTTCTCGGCGTCGCTAGTAGATTCCCTTTGTAGCACCTCGTCAGGTGATAGGAAATCTTCGTTGGCGTCCACCGCAAAGCTCACCTGGGTTTTGATTTCTTGGTCATCCATGTCCATAAGTGCCTGGGTTAGTTCCGGGTCGTTGTCCGTTGGGGTTCGGGCAGGTGCAGCGTGACGCGTCGGCCGAGAGCTGGCTGCCAGGACTCCGCGTTCCACTTCGCCGGGAGGCTTAGCGTGGCGGGTTGGCATGCTCTGCCGAAGGTCTTCAATTCCCAGAGGAAACCGGGATCGCTTGTCCAAAAAGGTGATGTCAGCGTGTACCTGACGTCTTCCTGCACAATTCCTGTAGTTTCACTGGTAGTCACATGATTTTAACCGCTGCTAGGTACGATGATTGACGGAGCCGATGTGAACGCGTGTGCACTCCTAGGCGCCACCTGGTGGTCTCAGCACATGCAGACAAATCTTTCTTTTTCTGCACGCAAGTGAAGCATGACATGGTGATATAATTTTACATCACTGGTTAGTTCTTCAGATTAGGTTTTTAAAAGATATTAAGATTTCCGTTATATCACGAGTGCCTAAAGGACTATTGTTCCTGAATTAGCATTGTGTGCCCTGTCCTGCGTGCTGAATGTCAGTGTCTCAAAGTGCTCAAAGTTTTCTGTCCGGCCTGTTGGAAAAGTTTAGTCACCTGGACATTCATGACTTCGATAGTGACGAAGATCAGGAGGGTTTTCTTGAGATGGAGTTTCATCAGCGCAAGCGGGACTACTACGTCAACAAATTAGAAAACTCAGATGTAAACAAGTGAGCTCTCTGTCCTTACTTCAAGGTTTTGTGTGGCAGCACCTCTGTGCATGTCGGCGTCACAAGGGGTTGTTTTGTATTCTTTCAGGCAAGTTATGCAAGAACAAGCGCACGTCTGGGCCATTCAATGGAACCTCCACTACTACTACAATGGCGTGCAGTCATGGAAATGGTAAGGAGTTTTTTGCATAGAAGGTTATGAAAAACTGTTTGGCGTGTGAACTGAAATCTTACTTGGATTTTTAAAAGAATTACTGTCATCCACACAGTTCATGTCCAGTGCAAGGCAAAGACTTCTTTCTGAAACCATTACAGTCAACACTCGTTAATTTGAACTCAAAGGGACCTCTGACTTTTGTTTGAATTAGCAGGAAGTTTGAATTATCAGAAGTTTTCATATATACGACTGTGGGTGAGGTGACACCACTCATTACGATTAGGCATTCATTTTATCGCATTTAAACATTTTTAAGCTTTTTAAAACCCTAACAGCACGCTATGAACAGGAAGCGGAGGTGTAAAGTGCACAAGTTTAATGGCCATTTACTACTGATTAAACCTTTCAAAGAAATTGTGAGTTACCAACTGCTTCTTTGCTATATGCGCCTTCAGCACAAAGCTCCTTATACCCCTTGAAAAGCATCATGGTTTACCATGCCTGTGCTTCGTTTCAAACGTTTGTTTACTACCAAAACCTTTTTCCTCAAAGGCTTAAGGCACTTATTTGTCAATTTGGGACTGTAAGAAATATATAACCACCCAAATTTAAGTAGTAGTGAGAAAGCAGCAGATATTTTCTGATGTGAAATAAAAAAAAATTATGAATTAGCAGAGTTGAGTGTTTGAATGAAGAGGCTTTTAAATAAAACGCAAGAAAGAATGGACAACCAAAAAAAATTTAATTTTGTTTGAATTGAACAGAAGTATGCGTTATCAGACGTTGAATTATCGCGAGCCTACAGAAATTGGAGATTGCTCCCTTTCGTTTGCTCGGGCCTGTGCATTTCTGTTAAGCTAAGTTGATTGTATTCAGTGAGTCCTGCAGCAACTTCAGTGACATGTGCTCAATTTTGTCATGCTTTGGTGCTGGCTCGCAGTCTTCAAAATCTTGCAGGTGGTAAACGAAGCAACATCAAACAAACCAAGAGAGAGTAATTTTTCATGTTATTTTGAAACAAAGTTTTCAAATGAGGGCTCCGTTATATGAGTTGTGCTGTGCAAGCTGCTGATTATGTTTAGCAAAATTTACAATGCTAGCCATGATGGTATTAAAAAGGAAAGTTTGTCAACTGCACTTGAGAAGAATACGTGATGTTTGGGCCATTGCGAAAACGTCTAGGCCTAATATAAGAACATGGACTAAGTGGGTCTCGCTGTCATTCGTATAGCTGTGGTATTAAATGGAATCATCAACAACTGACCAGTACTCAACCTTTCATGACCGTTTAGGACTATGTATAGTGGTCAGGAGATTTTATAACAGTATGACCGATGAAGACTGTACTCATCATCGGTGAAAATTGGTCCCTTGTGGAATCAGTCGTCAGAGATCGACTGTGCGGCAATTCCGATAAACTTCATGCTAGCAGGAGTTGGGAGAGTGTTTTGTTCCGCTCGGGCTCTCAACGACTGTGTGCTCTGACGGCCGCGAGGCGTCGTGCCAGTCACCGTGCACATTTTGTGTATCTACTGTAGTTGTGTTTATCGCTGCGAGATGGCCCCACTTGACCATGTTTTTTCAATGAAGCTTATTTTGTCTTTCCCTACTTTGTCTCTGCTTTAAATGTATTGCCGCCTTTGATGCCGTGCATGCGGAATTTTTGTATGTCATTAAAAACGGTAAAGAAACGCTAATTTATTTATTTAGTTGTGCCAACTTATTTATAGAAAATGAAAAAAGGTGTACAAAGTGAGCGAAAAAAAAAGATGGTTTGGTCATTCTCGCAGTTTTTCTTTTTTTCTTTTTCTATTTTTGTTCAGTCGCAAAATGTTAGTGACACTGCTGGCCACCATGCTCTTTCTGCAGGTTCTACCTGCACAACTACTCCCCATACATTTCGGATATCAAATATTTCCAGAACTTGTACATGACGTTTGAGCTGGGCAAGCCGTTTCTGCCATTCCAGCAGCACAAGCCATTCTTCCTTCAGCCAGTAAAAAGCTGGTGCCCATCGCCTAGCAGGTGAGTGGCCATGAAAGCCAATTATTCCAACGAGCGCCGGGGATTAGTTGACATTCAGCTGGTCATTCACGCAGCGAGCCGTTGACCAACGTAGAGGCCACGGCAAGACGTCAGTATCTCCTGAATATATACAGTTTTGCATGGAGCAAACTTCGTAGCTTGTTGCTTCTTGCAAATGCAAGCAGGGGCGTTCTTTTTCATGCACAGTGATCCGCAGTTTGACTGGAACTGAGACCACCAACCTTACACTAACATGTGCTGCTATATACCTTCTGAAGTTTGTATGAGACACCGTAAAGATCGGGAACGATTGCCACTCTTGGCCTCTCATCTGGAGTATGATATTTTTGTTTTTGTCATGCTCATGAAAAAAAGTTTTGTGAAAACAGTAGGGCTAACTTAAAATGTTATGTTCATGCAGAATAGTGAACACAAAGTCTGAAGAAAGGTGCACCTAGGCTTGTACAAGTTTTTAAAACTTCAGTTATTGAATACTGTTGGTGCTCATTGACTATATTCCCAGGCGTTCAGGCCTGTCTTCTCACGGATTTCATGACTTACGTGGGCGCTATCAGTGTGCCGTTTGTTGCTTAGTGATTATAGCGTAGAGAACACTGCCACCTTTGCAAGTATGCGAGTTTGTGCGATACTGTCCGCTAACCTACGCAAACTTCATTTGCAATTGTGCGATAGCTCATTCATTGCATAAACAATCGGTTGTTTACCATGTACATTCATATAGGAGATATTTAGATGCTACAAATTCAGTAAAGATCAACCTGATTTTGCGTAGACTTCCGTGCTGCCAAGAGTCTCCCTTTGGTTTCACTATGAACCAATTTAAGATGAAACTTAAGCCCTAAATGCCTCATCAAAACTCAAAACTCACTGTCAACGTCAAGGCGAATATGGCGTCACCACAAGCTCGTGGCCTGGTGTACTGTCGGCATTCGGGTTAGAGACGAGACGTCATTTTCATCGCCAGGAAGTCTCCGCTGCTGTGCCGCATTAACAACCAACATGCCCAAAAGCAATGAGACATAGTGGAACGATGCCGACACATTGCGAAGTTCCAATAAATTCTTTTTTTATTAGTATATAGTATTTTGTGTTCATAAGTTCCTATATTATCATAAGGAATGACCTACAATACAAGGGTGGTGCAAAAGTCCACCATCCGTTCTTCAATAACATGCAGTGACATCACACAGTACACGGGCTTCTGGAATTTCGCCTTTGCTACACCACTGCACATTTGTTCTTGATTGCCCGTAGACACCAGCACCACGTTGCAACAAAATTTATTCTACAGAGCTGTTGACGTGAATAAATGAATCGACCAAAAACAGCACATGCGCACATGTAGACAAGAACAATTTTAAGTGTAAGCGGTACACGTGAAAGCTGAGCGAAGAGCGCGAAGATAATGTAAAAACCCGCGAGGTAAATATATCCAAAATATTGTTTTACGATTTCAAGGCATGATAAAATACCATCTCTGTCAAGCTACCCTTACTGTATATTCAAACGGTAGATCTTTTTTTGAGTTGCTCAATTGAAGGTGAGCTAATGCGTGGGTCTGCCTAGTTAACACTGTTTCCCGCTTCAATTATTTGACGTGCTGTCTTCTTTGGGCTTTGTTCTGTCAAACTGCATAGAGTATATTTGTGGATGCCCACCCAAAGTTCCTCCTGCGAAAATGCTTTCGCTCTACTTCATGTTAACTACAAACGGCTTCATATCTTCAAAACTGCTTTTGACACCACACGGAAGAAGACACAAGAGAATACTGCTGTAAACTGACCGGATTTATGGCGTCAATCTACTCTTTATAGCAACCAGCTACCGGTGGTAAGACATGTGTGATATATACCAAGTGCCCAAGCACGACATTTCGGTCAGCCGAACGCACTCATGATCGCAAATTCGAAAAAAAAATGAAGTGGTAAACATTGTTGCGGAAGGCGCTCTAGTTAATCCACTGCGAACCCAAACACTGTATGTAGGATGGATCTGAACAGTGGCTAATGAAGTAGATCGTTTACACTGTAACCTCTGTTGACGTTGTGCTTACATGACGCTTGCATGAGGTATTTTTACAAAGCAGTTACAAGCACTTGCATGGCTCCAAGTGAAATATATGACTGCTATTCAGATTTAATAAGTTCACCTTTTGCGCGCACAGTCATTTTTATTCTTTACATGCATCTGGTTACGTGGCCGACCGATAACACCACCGACACATTTTTTGGACCTGAAAACATTTACGCTGGTGCGTTCACATTTACAAAGACTGGGCGGATATAGACCAGGGGAGCCAATCTCACACCATTGACATATACGCATTCACGAAATTATGTCCCGCATAGGGCTTCGACCGTGAGGAAAGTGCACGAGGGGGCGGAAAAGGGTTCAGCAAAATGTCAGCTATCATCGCCACACCACAAGGTTTTAGGCATCTCACATATACGGGCTCAAGAATGATTTTTATCTCGATTCGAGAAACATATATATCCATGCCGATCTCCACAACAGGCTTAATCTGGATGTCAAGTCTGGTAATCAGGTTTCTGTTCCGCGGTTAGGTTTCAACACAAGGTGAAGTTTTTATGAGGTGCATCACAAAAAAATATACTTAAGGCCGGTAAAATCTGTGTATTTACCAGAACAAAACATTATAACGATAGGCAAGTATATATTGCGAGGCGTGTGTAGAAATCTCTCAAAAAGCCGCAGTCGTGAAAAAGGGTAAATGACAAAGACTGTTATGGGCGAGCTATGGGACGGAAGGATCGGTGGTCTGCATGTTCTCGTGTTGCAAACTCTTCTGTGGACTGTGGATCACCTGTGTCTCATAGGTATAACAAATGCCATGGTATGTGGGTTCGGGCCACAGTGAATGGTGGAAAGGATATCATTAAGTGTATAACCTTCATGAAACGGGGAACGCTCGCGTACTCCTGTGCCTCTTTTGGTCTATATCAAGTTGAAAAAAAAAAGTTGACAAAACTATCACGAAAGTGCCGAGACGTAGTCGGCAAGAAAGATTGAAACAGCCGGTTGGCTTTCCGCTCGCTGAGAAATATTTGTCATTTACTAACACCTATAGCAGACGCTTTTGGTTGCACTCCACACTCAGTTTTAAACTAAATACCTCACACCTTATTCTTCCAGGGAGCCGAGGCGAAATCCGGCATGCACGATGGGGGCGCATGTGCAGATCACCGCATGCAGACAGCAAGTCGTGCAGCATCGCTCTGAGGCTGACCTCTGCACCGCCGGAGGTACTGCGGCACAGCAGAGGCAAACGTTTTACTGACTGTATCTTGGGCTCGAACCTCTGAATGGCGATATGTGAAAGCTGCTTTCTCGTCCATAGCCGTGGCGTTTGCCATGTGCTTCAACACCATCGGCTGCGCGGTCACTTCGCCAACTGGGGGCAAGAGGGTTTTGTGCCTTTATTTGTCAAAGGGCACCTCACCAAGAGCTAGATTAGTTTAGGACGTACTTGGAGTGCGCTGCGAGCTCGAATTTATGCTACAAACCACGGGAAGATCACGACCACTAACGGCAACTTCGCACGGAGTGAGCTGTAGCGATGTTTTTTGGTGGATTTATGTATTAGGTCAAATGATTTGTGTCAATATAAAATTTGTGTGATTGAAGTAAAGCTTTTTAGAGTTGAAATTTGTTGGCTCAATTGCATTCTCACTGTTAGCCTGTGATGGTAAAGCTCTAACTGAAGTCACCGCTTTGGTTTCAGTGGGCTTGAAACTCGGCTGGTTGGTGCAGTTTCATTCTCTAATACACACTAAGGGGTAAGATATTTTTTGCGAATTACTAAACAGTCACGTAAACTGCTGAGTCCTACATTTTTGCTAACTGATAAAAATGAATTGCATTGTCATCTGTGGGTGCCTAAAGCTAGCATACGACGTTTCTGAAATTTTCATTGAGCGAACGCTTCGAAAACACGAAAAAAAATCCTATTTAAAATTTTTGACCTTACACTCGATGATATCGGCGTGAAAATAGGGCTAGACAAAATGTTTCATGCAATTCTCATTACTGTTGTTTTTTTAAGTTTATTGAACCGCATGACATGTGCATACGTGCACACTATATGCTTAGTTTGCTTTAAATGAAAAAAATTACAGCATATCCACGGAATGAATGAGGATTAGTGGGGCGAAGCGGCCATCAGCCTCTCCATTCGTTCGTTCTTGCTTCCGTGCGTCCATACGCCTGTGCGTGTGTCTGCCCATCCGTCCGCCCATGCGTACGTCCACCTGTCTGTTCATCCGATCGTGCGTCCGTCCATCCGTCCTTCCGTCTGCTTGTCTCTGCATCTGTCCGTGCATCCGTCCGTGCGTCCATCTAGTGAACACCCCAAGTACCGCCATCTCGCAGCGCGTATGTGCCAAGCGTGTCACGCTGACGGACAGGGGACATTGCTCGACCCTAAGGAGCCTCGCCCCTTAATTGCGGCCTTTCACAGCGTATTTGGAACCTTGATTCAGGAAATAGTAAAATTACAAAGTTCTGGTGGAAGTGGAATGTGACAGTTTAAAAAGAAAACAAAAACAAGAACACAGATGTCTTAACGTGTCTACAACATATATACGCGTATATACGCGTAAAAACCAAAGTAGTGCTGTAATTGAAGAAAAATTCCTTTCTTTAAATAAATACATGCATTAGATCAAACAGCACGATTTTCTAAGTCATCGGAAATCTTTCTATTAGAAAGCGTTCATTATTTTAAACCTGAATAATATCTTATAAAACCACTCAATTCTTGGCCAACCTTCCACAGTGCGTATGCGCCAAGGACAATAGGTGAACAAGGAGAAGAACAAGATGTGGCAGGTGTGAGAAGAATAAGATTAGGACTGTAAACAACAAAGAAATGCTCATAATAAAGCACAGAATAAATAAACCACACTACCTAACCATCACAAAATCACACAACATTCACAAACATCACACAATGTGGAAACGTAGGTGGCACCACTAAAACACGCTTCCCTGGTTGGTAACGGCAAAAAGTTAGAAGTTGTACTAGCTGCTGACTAGCAAAGGTATGCCGCGAAAGTTGTGAAATGTTTGAACTGGTATAGCGCATTACGGTAAAAAAATATTGATCGAGCAGTACGACAACATATATTTTGATCTTTCCCTTTGGTAAACCGGCACACTGGACGTGAATTCTTGGTATAAAAAAGTCTGCACGCAGTTTTGAAAAAATTATTTGATTCGCGACATCTAAGAAGTCCGTGCCCACCGATGGGGAAAACAACAGCATTTAAGTGTTTGAATTGGTTGATTCATTGATTGATTGATTTACGTTTTTAACTTGACGCTTTCACTATGGTGGATCGTTCATGAAATGAGTGGTGTCTTGCTAATAAAACAAATTGTTCATAATGTCCAAATATTTAGCAGTAGATAGTTCTAAAATAACTTGTTGGATGATTCAAGAGAGAAAAAACTACAGTTTCATTACCACTCGCAAAACGTGTTTTTCCTGTTTATATTTCTTAATTTTCTTTACATCACATGTGCATAATTGTGGCTTTGTCTTTTATGCTTCGTGACCGCAAGCACGTTGGAAAATGAAAGCGACGACAACGAAAACGGGAGCTATAAAGTGCAGGTCATTTTTTATTATTTTGTTTGCAATTGTTTTCTTCAATACCAACCTTTGTTAGACGTTGTACAATCTAATATATTTGTTTAATAAAAACTATCTTAAGCTTCCTCTTCCCCTTTTTTTCTAAGTCACACTGCCATTGGATTCATGGCCGATCCCTGGTGGTGGGTTGAGCCCACTTGGGTCCAACAAACAAACCAACCAATCCCCAAGAGTGGGTATGTGCCTTATTCTGTAAGGCTCAAATAAACAAACAAATAGAACCCCGCCATCACGAGCTTGTGCGAGCGGCTCGGGCGGCTGTGGCTTTGGAACGCGTTTCCTGTCTTCGTGGAAGCAAACGGCGTTTGTCTATTACCAGAAATGGGCCTGAGTCCACCAAGCGACAGCGCAACTCGCTACCTCTTCGGCGGCAGCGGTTGCGCTTGCTTGACACAGTCACCAACTTACAAGAATCCTCTCCCGATGTCGTTGGACGTACAATCAGCGTTCACCGAAGATGAAGCGTGTTGCGTGTCCGGGGACTCTGCCTTTCAGGACGACCACCACAGCAGCCGGGTCCATGTGGCGAAATGCTGCAACAGCGCCGGTGCACCTTGTTGTCACCGCTGGAACGAACCCTGGATGAGGCTGTTCCGGAGAGCCGAGTCCGACCGGCACCTCGAGACTAGCGTCATGCAAGCAGCACTGACCGTCAAGAGAACCCAACACAAGGCAGCCTTCGTGTAAAGTTACAGCGGATGGCTGCACATAAGCAGGTGCATGTCATCTTGCTATACTCCATGATATAACGCAGCAGCAACCAGTTAAGGAACTGAGTGAATTACTTTATTTGCGATTGAAATATATTCTACCCTTTCTATCTCCGGATAGAATCATATTTACCTGTAAATATTTAACGAACCTCAACGAAGCAGAAAGCTCATCACTAAACGTGTATCGCAAGCCTAAAAGTTAGCATAAAAAGCAACGTTCGGTGGTTGTATCTTTCATTTGTGCTAAGAATGCTGTAGAAGGTAACGCAGAAATTTTAGGCGATCATTTGTTCCATCTTAGCTCTAGCTATAACTGTGCACCGCACTAAGTGAAAATCTAAGTTTAGGGCTCTGCAGTTTCAAAAACTAATTTATACAGTAATGATGGATGACTGCTTTAAGGTTATGTTTTTGTATGCTCACCATTAGGTACCTTCGAAAGAAACACGGGTTCTCCGAAATCGATAGAGAAACGTAGCAGTGTGTCTATTCTTCAAACTGTTTCTTTCAAATCAGTGTTTCTTTATCCGATAATTTACTTAAACCATAGCAACACCTATGAACCGATAAACCGCTGGTTTTTCTTCCTCAATAACCGAAATCATTACTGAAAGAGTCCATATTTTGAATATGTGACCAAATACTTCAAAATGAAGGCCGTAAAATTTGCCTGTATATATCTGGCGTAAATAATGACTGTATTGAATAATGTCACGTAGGCCATCTTTGCATTATTTGCTTGCGTATTTGGTCAAGAGGCACTGCGCAATATGTAGGATGCTTTAGAATTTAATATCACGTTTTACACACACACACACACACACACACACACACACACACACACACACACACACACACACACACACACACACACACACACACACACACACACACACACACACACACACACACACACACACACACACACACACACACACACACACACACACACACAGAGACACACACACACAGACACACACACACACACACACACACACACACACACACACACACACACACACACAAGGTACTCGGCTGCTGACCCGCAGGTCGCGGGTTCGATTCCCGGCTGCGGCGGCTGCATTTCCGATGGAGGCGGAAATTTTGTAGGCCCGTGTACTCAGATTTGGGTGCACGTTAAAGAACCCCAGGCGGTCAAAATTTCCGGAGCCCTCCACTACGGCGTCTCTCATAATCATATAGTGGTTTTGGGACGTTAAACCCCACAAATCAATCAATCAATCAATCACAAACACACACACACACACACACACACACACCCCTCTATGGCTAGGCCTATCATAACACTGCAGATGGAAAGAGAACGGGTACAGAGAACTAGAAAGAGAGAAAAAGAAAGAAACAGAGACAAGGGAAGGAAATGAAATGAATCAGTTCCGATTTTTTTTACGACCTGGACTTCGCACCCACGTCCTTCGATCCGAAAGTGAGTGCCCTAATCACGTGGCTGTACAAACACGCTACCACAGTGTATAGCACAACCTCGTACAGTATATTTTAGCAAGGGGGCAAGAAATGGAAATGAACGGGAGGAGAGTTGTATTTGGTAAGAGGATAGATAGCAAAGCGCAGCACAGTAAGAATGATGTAGAGGAAAACAGACAGCGATGAAAGCAGAAGGAAATAGAGAGAAAAAGAAACCTGAACAAAACAAAAAAATAAATAAAGAAAAAAACTTCAGAAAGAAAGAGGAAACAAGCCATGCACTACGTTCCGCAGATTGAAGGAAAAACAAACGGCGGAGACATCAGGTGCAACCCGGCTGTGTAGTACATAACCTAGCCGCACCAGATCAGGACCAGAGTGTCACAAGACGTCCTAAGAAAGGGTGTGCGACCGAGGAGGAAGCTGCGCATCCCGAAGCTCGCCGTGGAGTATGCGCGCTGGTGG